TAGGTAACAGGTGTGGTATTTACTTCTGCTTACTTTACTGTTTAAAGAGATTTTTCCCTTTAAAAAGTAGAGGTCTTTAATGCTGGATCATTTTTATATCTGTGGGGTTTTTTCAGATGCATAGCAATCCACTGCTTGCAAAGATCCCTGGAGCTTACACCGTTTTTCCATCGTCAATTTTTTATTATTCTGATAAACCCTGCATATACTGTAGCTAGACATTGGAACAGCAGAAAGTTTCTACTTTAAAATAAGGGCTGAAACAATGCTTGATTTTATCCACCAGATATGAAAGCACAGATTTGCAAGTATACAGAATTATGCCCACTGGCATGACAGCACTAGCCTTATTTTGTCTAGTTACATGGGTGTGTGTGACAGTAAAGGATCACACCCATATTACTAGACATAGTTAAATTGTTTTCTGACTATTCACCTTTTGATATCTGCTTTTTCGTTTTGTAAGGTATTGAGTAGCAATGCACAACATGAAGTTACAATTATTGAATATTTCATTATTGTTTTCTAAATGATGTGATAAGGAGTTGGCCGTTTGCAGTATAGTTTGGTACCCTGAGAGGTGATTTTTGTAGGTTTCAGAATTTAGGGTTGCAAATTGCAATTTTGCTATAGCGTAATTGAAGAATATACGTACAATTGTAATGTTTTGAAAAGCGACCCAGGATTTGCTTTGCAAGTTTAAATTTCAAGTAGTTCACCTCTAGAGAAAGTCCACTGTCATTCAGCACATTATGTGATAGGAGAATTAACAGAGTACCTCCAACCTGCAATAAATACTGTTTTGAGCTAATTCCCATCCACTCAGACTTGAGTTTCGCTCTTACATTTTTTTTTTCCAAGTATGCAAAGAAGGGGGTGATGGTCAACATACAACCATATGAAATGAGTAAAGGGAAAGATATAGAAGTCATATGGATGGTAGCTTGGAATGCTGTCTGTCAGAAACGTACCACGTAATACGTGAGTTACAATCTGTCAACGGTTAATACAAAATGTAGTTTTGAGTATTGATATAAAACTGGTCACCTGCTTACTGACAATACCCCTAGTTACTGAAAGGGGGATTGGGTATAGATTTGTGTAATAAAGTAAGCTTAGGTACAACCTGTAAAGGTAAAACCAATAGAAAAAAAAAAAAAAAAAAAAGGTACTCAACTGCCAAAAATGTAAAGTGAGCAGGGTGGAGGAGGAGGATCATTAGGACAAGGCAAAGTAGACCAGGTAGGGTGGAGTGGAGAGAGGGAAGGATTTAATCCACACCCCTGAGGGATATTAAGTAGAAACAGCTTGTATATAATCAGGTGAAGCCATAAAGTCAAACCAATGGAACTTCCCTTAGCATTTGACATAACATTGAGCGCTTGTACTAGGCATAGATGATTTATGAATGGGTCATTAGAAATGGTGGGGTTTAGCTAAGATCAGTCAGAGCCAGGCTTTGTGTATAGAGCACACCCATGACCATGGGAACTTTTAAAACCTGTTTTTGGGGTCCATCCAATATGACTTGCTTTGGAGGTAACATCCTATACTGTAGGTGGAGAGTGTCAGCAGTGTTGTTTGACTACTTGGCCATCCTTTCAACATAAATTATCGGTGAGACACATTTGGGTAAGACTGAATTATAGGATTATTAAAGGTAATAAGGGAGAATTCTGTTTGTTCTCATTAATAAGCCCAACAGATTTCTTTTGTTAGGGTACCACAAATTAAGGGAACCGATAGTTCAAACAAATAGTTTGGTCAGGACATAGGCTTTATAGTACATGGCTAAAAAGCACACATTTACCCCCACAAGGGTTACATGCTCTTATTACTAACCATTCCTAATTTATAAAGCTATGCATTTACCTGCTCTTTTACAATGGCAAGGATTTACAGAAACTACAATTAAAACTAAGCCAAAGAGCCAAGTAGCTTACATCTTTAAAACTTGTATTTGATCAGTACTAAGTTATGTCTGGTTGCTCTGTAAAACACCTGAAGTGTGCTTTTATATATGTAAACACATCAGATTTAGTGGAATAAAAAAATGAAATGAGACTGATCTGCGTAACACAGATCATTGAGACCTTTTGTGCCCAACATGCAGCCCTGTGGTACTTGTTTTGTGGCCCTAAGAGACTCTGCCTAGGCTTCAGCTCAGCCATTGAAGAATAATATTCTTTAGACTGGATTTCAGTATTTAAGTAGTTTTGTTTAGTTTGTTTAAACTTTTCTGTGCTGTCAAAATCTTTTTTTATTTTTGTTTTTATGATGGCTCCTGTTGAGAGAAATATCAGATGTGGCACAAGTCATCTTTTAAGAGGCATATAGGGAGCAAAAACCATGTAAGCATCAATTTGTAAAGGTACTGTAAAAGCTGTGATCTCTAGCAGACACGTGTAATATTTCCAGTTTCTGACTGTCCCCCGCAGCATATTCTTGGTCTCCAATAAATTCTTTAGCGTGTTTGGTCCTGCGTGGTCTCTATCTGTTGTAGCTTATCTACAGTCTCTGACCATCTGCAGCATCATGTCTGCAGTCTCCGAGTATTTCTTTCAGCATGCATGTACTCTCTGACCATCTCGTGTTGCATGTGTGCTGTCTTTGACAGGTTTCTGTAGTGTTACTTTCATTGTATATTATGTGCAGTCCTTTTGGTGATATCAGGGGCAGTACTTGAGGCCCTCTATATCAATGAGATTGACCACTGATGCTAGATACTCACATGCTTGAGACACTTGTTTTCAAATAACCGGACACTTGACAAAATGGTTATTCAGTTATTTTTTCAAAATCCAGACATATACTACTTTGTCAGTTCTTTCTGTAACAGAAATCTTTGCTAAAATGGTCTAGAATACTACAGATGTTTCTTGGATGGGTGTATATATATATTTAATGAGGAATGGACACGATTTAGGGGTAATTCCCTTCTTTAGAGGCAAAACCTTTCTTAATCTCTGAAGGTCTTTACTGTACATTGTTGAATCCTTCTATTTTGCTTCAGTATAATATACTGCTGTAGCATTGGTTGTAAAGTCTGTTTTTCTTTTTTATAAAAATTGGAGAAAACAGATTTAGATCAATAGTGAAGTTGCTACCAATAGGAATCCGGAAACATCTTCATTATATGAGGAAAATCAACGAAAATTCTGATTGGCTAATGTGGGCGAGTCCCACTTTTCTTTTTACCCTGATCTTTTTAGTTTGTATGATTTGGTCCCTATATGTTTTATGATATGCTATCCATATACCAGCCTTTCTCAACCAGGGTGCCTTTAGGCTTCTTCATGGGTGCCTTAGCATAATGCCCAAAAATTGTATACAAGCCAGCAGGTGTAGCAATCCTGCTTTTTAGTACACAAAGCCACAGGTTTTCATTGTGCACTTTTATGACCTTCTAGCTGCAAGCATCCTAACAACCAATTACATCATCAGTTGTTAAGGAGGACGTCGGGTGCATGCACGCCATACTTGTTTGGCCTCCCCTATCCCTCTCAGTCAGCACTGGGGTAAGATTAGCAGAGTGAGGGAGAGAAAATGACACACTGGAATACTAGTCGGTACCAGTATGCAAAGATGTATTTGCTTTGGGAGAATAAATCATCTCTAATGTTGGGTGCACTGGATGTGTGTAGAATAGTTTTTTACATTTTAGATTGGGGTGCCTTGAGAGTAGAATTTTAAAGGGTGCTGTAATGGAACCGACCCAGTCTGCGCTTGGGTACTTCCGTTATAATACCGCTTCCCCGTCCAAACACCGACCCACAGACACCACAGCCGACCAAACAAGACTAGACAACACCAGTCTGTCTGAATATGGAATTCTTTATTTGAAAATAAAGAATTATGGCTTTTTATACACTCGGGGCAATCCCCCCTTCCTGCATAATGAGACATGGAGAGGCAATCTACACTTGGCAACAAGAGACACACAGGTATTCAAACTTCACATCAGCAGACAGTCCCATCAGGAGGGAGAGCTGCTGGAGACACCCCCCACTAAACTAATACACATAAAAACATATATCCCATAATAGTTTGCTCCCAAGCAAGACACACAATAGAACAATGGGATGCAACCACATGGCATTAAACAATCCACAACCTCCCACCCCAACATTAGGACAGATCACCCTGTACCCCTAACAGGCACAGGGTGACTTACACATAATAGGGATATGGGGAGCTGAGCTGGGTTCCATGGGCCCCCCACCCAAAGTGACTCCCGTCACAGGTGCCTCGAGATTATCCATAATTTTAAAGGGTGCCTTGACTGAAAAAAGATTGAGAAACACTGCCATACACAATAAGCGGTCATTTGAATGGGCTATCCTAACAGTGCGCCAATAATGCAATACCAGGACACAAAGGTCTGAATAGGCCCTCAATGTTTCTAGCTTTCCAAGCAGTCCTTTGTTTATGGATATAAGTTGCTTATGTAAATTTCTTGAAGATGTATCGATTCATCTCACAGAAATGAAGCTCATGCTTAACCGTTTTTCAGCAGAAGTTTAGTCAGTAAGGTTTTTAACAGTCCCTTTCCTGTATTTGTTTGTCCCTTTGTGAAATGTGCTTGGGATAGGATGCATTGCGTGATCACAAGTGAACATTTTTTATTGTTTAATGGTCGGCAGTAGCAGCTATTTAAGTTACTTGGAAGCTGAAGCGTTAATGTGTATTTATGTGGTTCGTATATTGGCTAAATGAAGTAAGTCACTTGAAATAAAACCTCAGTTCAGCATTTCAGGGAAAGAACACAACTTAGGAGCTCTTGTGTTTACTCTTCTTGGTAAAAACTACATGTGCAAGCTGCATTTGAGTCAGTGAACTGTGGCTGGTGAAAGCAGCACATGGGTCATTACCTTCTGTGCAGACTAACAAGCGGAGCACATCCAGTAATAGAATACTGTGCACTATTGATTACTCAAGCTGACTGTCTCTGGAAATGTACACAGTGAAGGCCATTCATCATTGCTATTCTCTCTTCCCAGGCTGAACAGGAACTCCGGATAACACAAAGTGAATTTGACCGCCAAGCTGAGATTACTAGATTACTTCTAGAAGGCATAAGCAGTACACATGTAAGTTACAGACATGGACAGTGGTAATAGGTTCAAATGATCTAACCTGTTGGCTCATATAGGTTTGCAGTTGACTGTAGCTGCCCGTTTTTCAATGTAATTGATTTTGCTGACTCATATTTTCATACAATATACTACAGGATTGTTGCAGTAATAAGTATGTGGCCAAGTACTATTAAAGCTGATATCCAGCTTTTGGTGAAGTTTATATAGTTCATTTGGACCACAAGCTTGCCCAAATGAACCTTCAGTGAGAGATGCAGAGGCTGGGAGTGCTGTATAAACTGTATGTAGCTTTCACTACATACAGTGCTGTGTTCCCACAGTGTGATGGGGATTTCCCATCAATCACCTAGAACAAAACTGAGTGGGTCTGAGCTGCACTCAGCCTTTCACAGGAAGCTTAGTATTCTGTGAATGAATACAAAGCTTCCTTTGGCTGAGGAGGAGATTGCAAAGCCATCCACTTGCATCACCCTTCCGCCAATCAGAAGGAAGCTTTGCAATCATTCATAGAATACAGATCTCCCTGTAAAAAGCACAGCTCAGCCCAAGTAAATTTTGTTCCAGGTGTGGGATGGGAAGTTCCCATCCCACTGCGGGGAAGACGGCTAAGGCTACATACAGTTTATACAATGCTGCCAGCCACTGCATCTTGTAGTAAAAGTAATTGTTTGGACCACAAACTGGCCCAAAAACTATTTAAATGTCGCTAAAAGCCAGAGAGCAGCTTTAGGCTGGATTCACACTGGCGTGGATTGGAAGGTCCGGTTTGAGTGTGCATTGCAAAGTGGTTGTTCAGCGTCTCAGGAGCAGTTCAGGACAGGATTGTTATCACAGTTGTAAATTTTATTTAGCAGTTCAGGAATCGTTTGGCTTTCTGATGTAAGGCAGAACAGGATTCTTTAGCAGGCCATACATGGGTTTTGAATTCCGAACAATTTTGCGATCGAGAATCGAAAACTTCGTTCCTTCTGTAATCCGATGGTGCCACCAGTGATTTAGAAAATCTGTTGTTTTTCACAAATTTTCCAGCATGCCCAATAAACGAAACGGGGAAGAAGCACGAAAATCGGCCGGTGCCATTGCCCCACTAACAGCAAAAATCAGACGATTATTCTTAGGCTTGATTTTCGAATGAAAAGTTGCTCGAAAATCGACCCATGCATGGCCGGCCTTTGCTAGGTACATCTGATGAGGTGGAGAGGAAGGGGGGAGAAAACTGTGCTGAAACTCAAAGTCTGTTCACAACTGATAACATGTGCGATTCAGAAGAGTTCCCATAGAAGTCAGTGAGCCTGCATTCGCACCTAAACCAGACCTCACTGCTCAGAAAACTGACGGGACTCTTTTTTTTTTTTTTTTTTTTTTTTTATTGCACTGAATCTGCACTCTGGCTTCACTGGACATGTGAACAGCCACAATAAAAAAGCAATATTCCTTCACATGTCAGTTGTAAAGGCATCCAATTCGCATGTGTGAACCGTTCTTGCCTGACTACGTTGTGCCAAGTGTAAAGCTTGGTGGAGGGAGGGATTATGGTGTGGGGTTGTTTTTCAGGGGTTGGGCTTGGCCCCTTAGTTCCAGTGAAGGGAACTTTAAGGCATCAGCATACCAAGACTTTTTGGACAATTTCATGCTCCCAACTTTGTGGGAACAGTTTGCGGATGGCCCCTTCCTGTCCCAACATAACTGCACAGCAGTGCACAAAGCAAGGACCATAAAGACATGGATGAGCGAGTTTTGAGGTGGAGGAACTTGACTGGCCTGTACAGAGTCCTGTCCTCAACCCAATAGAACACCTTTGGGATGAAGTAGAGTGGAGACTGCGAGCCAGGCCTTCTTGTCCGACATCAGTGCCTGAGCTGACAAATGCGCTTCTGGAAGAATGGTCAAACATTCCCATAGACACATTCCTAAACCTTGTGGACAGCCTTCCCAGAAGAGTTGAAGCTGTTTATAGCTGCATAAGGTGGGCCAACTCAATATTGAACCTATGGACTATCACTGCGGTGTAAATTAAAGTTCCTGTGTGTATAAAGGCAGGCGTCCCAATACTTTTGGCAATATAGTGTATATCTTGATTCCTGCCACCTCAATCTGACTTCAAGTCTGCGAACAGCTTCTGATGAATTTCTGATTGCTTCTAATATAAATTTACTATTATGTGAATATATTATTAATGACCACTGGAATGGTTTTTGGAGAGAGTAGGTATGCATCTATATACATTTGTGCCTCCAAAGTTTGTATCTGTGACATCTGCTGTGCATTATAATATTTTCCATAAAAGTGGTGATTTGGAGTTTTTTCTGAAGTTTCCAAGTCATTATTTCATAGCCTCCAGCACCTCCCTTTGGTTTACCTGTTGTAACTTAAATAAGAGTTTTATGTTTCCACGTTGGTGCTGACATCATAAGATCTGACATCCTTTGGCTGCTACATTCTCTTGATATTCTACAGTGTGGAACTGCAGCCTTTTTCAGTGATAGGAAGGCTTTAAGTTCCTTCTGGTATAGACAGAAAAAAGTCTGTGCTATCTAAGTTCAGTTAGCAACCAACATGCATCATAGGATATACTGTTCTCAATAATTAAATCATAAAAAATGCAGCAATTTAAGCGAGAGTAAATATTGCTTTACATAGAACTTCTACTGTCCCTGTTCTAATTTGTTTCTGAATATAAATAGTGTCTAAGATGCATGTGAAAGTAAGATGAGGAACACTCACCAGAATCTTGGACCCCACAGTGTTACAGAAATCAGTTCTCAGTGTTAAGTCCATAAAAGATGTATGAATGTTGTTCATCATAGCTTGGTGTAACTTCAGAGTTACAGCCAGCTCACCCTTTACCCACTGCAGATAAGGGTGCCCCTTTATCCTCCTCAATAGGCTGCATTTATACCATGTACTCATTATAAATAATGGTATTCCAACAGGGAATAGACAACACTCATTGCTATGTACTTGCCTGTAATTAGATCGAATCCATGTGCATGTGAGTGCACTTTCAATACCTTTTTAAACATCCAGTCATCTTCTGGGGTTGAGGGATCAGCACAGCCCCTGATGACATATATTATGTCGAAACATGTCAGGCAAGCTGGATTTATAGATACTAAACAATGCTTTTGTGGTTTTAGTTTTTCTTTTTTGATGGTTATCGGCATACAATCATTTGTAATTTGTAAAACTTCAAACAGATTTTATAAAAAAAATAAATAAAATTTGTAAACCACACAAAGAATGGTTTGGTGTATGGTACAAGCTCTATCTGAACGGTATTCACACTGTTAGGCCTCCTTTTAACTTTTGACACTGGATTTTTGATGGTATTAGAAACACACTCAAGCACATGGAGTCGGTCTAATTAGAGGCAAGTACACAACAGTGTGTGGCATCTATTCCCTGCTGATCTTCTCTCTCTCTAATGGGTACAGGGTATAACCAGGTCCATGTAGAAGGATAAAGCAGCATCCTTATCTGTAGTGGGTACAAGACAAGCCAACTGTAACTCTGAACTTGCAGTGGATGACAAAGACAAGTCTATACAAGATTTATGATTGAGACCTGACCTCTGTAAAATTGTGGATTCTAAGCTTCAGCTGAGTGTTCACTATCTTACTTCCATGGCTTCTGATGTGATACATGTGAAGTGGATGACAGTTGCAACACTTTAACTTTATGTTTGGAACTGGGACATTATACATTTTTATGTTAGGCGATATTTATTTGCTTTATAAGCCCGCATTTTAATGATTTTGGCTTATCCTGGTTTAAAATAAAAGCTTCACAATTATTAAAGTGTAACTCAAGTCAGAACTTTTCTTTGTCTTGGTTAAAGTGGGAAGGGTTGGCTTTTTATTTAAAATACCATTCTCTGGATCTTCACTTCCTGTCCTGATGACAGGAGCTCAAGTAGATTTGCTTAGAATTAGTCCTTGAAGTTTGCTGGGAAACAAGCAGACCTGAAGGTGATCTCCTGGGTTCTCCGCGGCTCACAACTGGAGATGGTGATGATGTTGAGGTTAGCAGGAGGAACCGTTGAGAGCTGTGGAGAACCTAGGAGACATTCTCAAAAGTGTTAATTTCCCCAGAGGACTTTGGGGGAACCAGTGCTCGTGAACAGAATGGTCTTCAGCAGCTCTTGCAGCAGGAAAAGTGAGGTGTAGTGTGTTTTTTTTTTTTTTTTTTTTAAGTTCAAGTTAGTGCTTGCTTAAAACTACTGCCAGTGTAACAGGTTTGCTTTAATGATCCTGGAAGGTGAAATTTACCTTCACAGTCTTGCTCTAAAAATCCAGTTAGTGAAGGTTCCATTTTTAATCTTTCCCTGGCTTGTTGGCTGAGAGATTTTCCGACATGCAGCCAAACAACATCAGCAGGGGAAGAGAAATTTAGCAGAACATGTTCTTTCAAGGTGTAGTAATTCATATATGCGTAATGAAGCACTAGGTATTAATTTCATTTGGATTTAATTTATTCCAAAGGCACATCATCTGCGTTGTCTGAATGACTTTGTGGAAGCCCAGATGACCTATTTTGCACAGTGTTATCAGTATATGCTGGACCTTCAGAAGCAACTTGGCAGGTAAGAAATGGCATTTTTTTTGGTTGTACTTTAGAAAAGGGGCAGGTTAGATACTTTGAATGTGTGTAAAGTCATTTAAATGCAGGAGATTTTGTTCTGGGAAATGTAAAGTTCATCTTTGTTTCATTTTCTTCTGCATTTAAATGAAACAGATGCAGGAGGCTAAAGTGAATGAAGGCTAACTGAGTGCAAGTGCACCTGGGAGAATCGATGCGATCTTTAAATGCAAAGCGTGGACACACCAAATATCAATTTGATTCAGGTTTTTCTCTGTTTATGCACCTTGTAGCCTAACTGATATATAAAAAATACTATTATGATTTTTGAAAGTGCCTAAAACATTTGCACAGCACTGTCATATGTGCAGCCTAGCAGCAACAAATGAGAGCTAACATGCTAATTAAATTTAAAGAAAACTTTTTATTTCTCTTTTTCTATCTTAGTTTAGTTCCAGTGATTATCACTGGCCTCTGTGGTTGTATGCAAGTATATCATGGCTGGTAGGAGGGGCCTGCAGGGTGCTATGTAGTTTTTTTCCTAAGGGCCAATTCCCACTGACTTTTTCTAAAATATATGGAAAATGGATATACATTTTCATCCATTTTAGTCGTGCGCTGATGTTCGTTGACATTTATTTTGACGTCCAATGACATGCATTTTAGTGCACGTTAAAGTGTACTTTTTCTTTTTTTTTTCCAGTCCGCAAACGTGCAGATAACGAAAAACCCGTAAGTGTTCACAAAAAATGTGCAAGGTCAAAATACCACATGAAAAAGTGCACTTAGGGGTGTGCTTTGTCCTTCCCCTGAAGGGGATGGACCACTACCCTGATCCCCCGGGGCACAAAGCTCCTGACAGGGACAAGGTTCCCATTTGCTCCTCTTGGCCAAAAGGCCTGGTGGACCACCGTTCCTTGTGTCCAGCCGAAGCCAGACACCCAGTACTTGGTCAGGGGGCTCTCCCGAAGAGAAAACCCCCTAGGGACGGGAGGAAAGGACCAAAAGGCCACACATCCTCCCCCTAGACTTCAGGGCAGGCCCGAGGACCCACACCCTCCATCCTGTGAGGAAAACACACACATAAGTAAAGAAAAAGTGACAAAACATGGGAGGTGCAATAAATTAAATAAAAAATAAAAAAGTGGTCGTGCCAAATAGTGCACAGACCAGGCCCTGAGGCCTGTAGCAAAAATTGCCCTGGTCCTAGCCAAAAAGCCTGTTCCTAAGGGCGCTGTGCAGGAAATGTGGAAACACAGTGACCATGTGCCATTTTCACACAGTGGGGTCCCACACCCAGGTGCTACTAGTGGCACCCCTGAGGCGACTACTCAGGGGGCACTGGTTGGCGGACTTTCTGCCTTCCCGACCCCTGGCCAGACAAGGTAGATCCGTCTAAATCAGGAGGTACTGGGTCCCTCTGACGTTCCAAAGGGGAATTACTCCCGAGCCCCAGCTTCTACTCGCGGGCACCACGGTTTCTGTTCCCCCCCGTAATAGCCATCAGGACCCTCATCATACCAGCAGGGGTACTATACAAACAGTCATCCTCACAAGTTTAGAATGACCGTGGAGCACCCCTACTGAACACTGATAAGAACAGATGCTACACTTGATCTTCGCCAAAAGGCCGAGAAGCACGTTAAAGCGTACTACATTTTCACAGGGTAGCCTGTGCATTGCGTTGACATCCGCTGCATTACACTAAACTGCATACATGTTGCATTTTGGTGCAACGCAGTATTATGGTGTGATTAGGACACATTAGAAATTGTTTTTCAGATGTCATACTGTTGATCTGTGTATTACAGCTGCGCTAAAACTTAGATCAATGCAGTGGTATAAATTGGCCCTAAAAATATTACAGCACCCTGCCCCAGTACTCTTCTCAAGAGCATTCCACTCTGATACAAACAGTAGGCTATCTCTAGGGAGGGGTTATGCAAATATCAGAACTCATTGATGGCTATCAGTCTGGAGGTGTTGGCATTCCCAGGCAAGATGCATTTGCATGAATACTGCCCTAGGTAACACCCAAGTGTGATGAGTTTCTGTGTGTTGAAAAATGATGTAAATCCAATGAATGAAAGGTGGGGCAAGTTAGTCAGTTTAGGAAGGAAAGGACTACATAATGCTGGATGTTTTCCAGGCGGGAAATGAGGTGGGCTTTGACTTGCTGAAGCTTCCATTTGTACACTGAGAAGCTCACTGTGTGCAGTGGAATCGAAGTAATCCATTAATATACAAAAAGGTGCAGCGCTAAAACACAAATAGACAAAAGTGTATATACATGTACAAACTCATGCAAAAGTATAAGGTGACACTGTGCATACAGATATACGCCACTATATTGTGGCTAATAGGACGTGAGGAAGGATTGTTGTATCCAAAGGTAAGTCCAGCGTGAGGATGTGAACAAGATCTCAACCGATCTATGGCTCTCCAGACGACACAGACTGTGTGCACGGTGAAACAATGGGGGTACAGATTACGCACTCACCAGATGCGCAACCTTTGTGCGCTTTTCTATAACATAGAGACCTCCAATGCCTCAACTAGGGTCTGGTCAGATCTGGTCAGGTCCCCTTCTTTATCCAACACCTTGCGATCGGCCTTCTCCTTAGATGATCAACACTCTCCAAATAAACCTGGCTCCCGCAGGAGCTCAGAAAAAAACAAAGGAGGCCAATAGTGCAATATGTCTACGGGTGTATTTATTCCCACATATAGACAAAAAGTACAATGTATGGAGTAAAATAAAATAGAAGTACTGACCTGATATAAAGTTGCCGCCGGGACCCCTCGTGGTGCCGGCGGTATTAGCGTCAAACAGCTGCAGCCTGACTCTGACGCGTTTCTTATATGGTGCCTTTGGTGTACAGCTGCTGCTATTTGGAAGGCGCTCGCTTATTTATATGCTTTAGTCGAAGTAATCCATTGTCAGTCATGTGACTGAGCTGTACTATCCACTGATCATTCTCTACATTGTGCAGAGAACACCCCAACAGACACTATAGGTTCCACATCCACAACGTGTCCTTTAATGTATGAGTCATTGGGGTTGATTTCCTAATGGCACAGATCTAGAGCAACTTCAGAGGGGAAGCTCTGAAATGAAGGGAAGTTCTGCTGATTTCTATCCAATCATGTGCAAGCAAAAGTGCTGTTTTTTTATTTTCTTTGTATGTGATTGGGTATTCTTTGCAAAGAGAATCTTTACCTCATTTACTAAGCTCTGGAACAACCGCACTTGCAGTGCACAGTATGTTTGCCTTTAGTAAATTAACCCCGTTGAGTGTGTCCTGTGGATAGCAGTATGCACTCTCTGATTTAATAGCCCCCCCAAGTGTGCATATTCTGTTTACTGGATATTTTACTTTAACAGTTTTCCTGCCGCCCTATAGCAGAAATTCTTCTACTGAGCGGCAGGGGTGTGCAAAATCACATATATACACGTGATTTTGGAGTTTCTGGGTAGGGGGCGTGCGTGAGCTGTGCGCGCCACCATTCACTGCCTTGGCTGTCTGAGTCCCGGCTGGTGATTACTCGCCAGCACCCGGTGGTTCCTGAGTATTACCAAGGGGGGAGAGGACTGTATGTAAACAATACAGTTCTCTCCCCTGTCAGTTCCAGCACACTACTTTGTATGGCTCTGAATAGCTGAGCCATACAAAGCAGTGTGCTTACAGTGGAAATCACAAACACCACATACTGTGAAACACCACACAGTTAACCCTTTGATCGCCCCACATATTAACCCCTTCCTGCCCAGTGCCATTAGTACAGTGTCAGTGCTTTTTATTCGCACTGATCACTGTATTGGTGTCACTGGGGATGTCAGTGATACCAGGTCAGTTCCCCCCAGTGTCAGAATGCCCGCCGCAGTCTCGCTATAAGTCGCTGATCGCCGTCATTACTAGTAAAAAAAAAAAAAAAAAAAAAATCCAGTATATATACCACCATTTGTAAACGCTATAACTTTCACATAAACCAATTAATTTACATGTATTGGGATTTCTTTTTTGAGCAAAGACATGTCGCAGAATACATTTGCCCTAAATTTATGACGCAATTTGATTTTTTTTTTTTTTTAAATTCTCAAAATTGTCGCTGTTTTTTGTTTATAGTGCAAAAAATAAAAACCACACAGGCAATCAAGTACCATTGAAAGAAAGCTCAATTTGTGGGTAAAAAAAGGACTTAAATTTAATGTAGGTGCAACGTTGCATGACCACGCAATTGTCAGTTAAAGTAACGCAAAAAATGGCCTGGTCAGGAAGGGGGGTAAGTCCTCTGGAGGGCAAGTGGTTAACTCTAATTCTCCTTTCACACACACAGCAGGATATGATAACCCAAGAGTGCATGCTGTACAAATGTGAGTGACCTAAAAAACTATCATAATTGGACATCATGGGACTTGAATGTGTTTTCCTTCAGATTCATTATACTTCATTTGAAAAGTGATAGGCTTACAATGCAGTTAATTTCCTGTAGGCTACATGTATGCAGGCTTTTAGAGCTTATCCAGTTCCAATAAACAAAAATGTATCAACTGACCTGTCCTTAGATGTGGTGGATGCATTTGTTTTTTGTTTTTTTTTTTTCAAGCTTGTTTCCATTCACTTTCATTTCGTGTTCCTGTAAATACCATTTCCAGTCTGATAGCTTTGCTCACTATGGGAACATGGTTGCCGCCCAGGCTGGACTTCAAACATGTCTGCCTCTATTCATCTCCACTACATGGTGAAGTTGAGATTAGTAGATTACAAAGGGAAGATAACATTGCTGTCCGTTCACATCAATGGAAGTGATGAGGACACTAATGTCTGGCAAGAGCAGACAGGTATTTTCTGTACTTTCTGAAAATGTTCTTGGCCCTAAATGAAAATGAATGCAGCGACTACATCTAAGGACTGGTAAACTGCAGCATATATTACATTTTTGTTTCTGGGTTCAGGTATCCTTTACTTAAGTGTGTATAGTTGAAGTGGCTCAAATTTTGGCTGATTCACCAGGTACTGGTCAAGAAACTTAAGCTTTATGGCCTATTTAAAGCTATTCGAAAAGCATTTGTTTATTAAAAATTAAAAAAAAGATGTTCTGCTTACCTGTTTTGTGCACTGATATTGCACGGAGCCGATCCCTTACCTCTTCTTTAGTGGTCCCTTGCTGCTGCCACCCATTCCTTCTTCCAGCAGGAGCCCAAGTAGGAAGTCGTGCACTATGGAGGCACCCATGCAGGTATGCTCCCGAGCAGGGCTGTGTGTGTTCACAGACACAGCTATTGCAGTTGAGCTAGGCCATGCCCCCTTCTCCCTCCTCACTGGATTTGGCTGGCAGCAGCAGGACCTAAAGCCTAGTACACACAATCAGAAAAACGTATGAAATATACCGCTTTCAAAGTAATCGTACGATAATCTGATCATTAGTACACAGCTTTTACCCGAAATTAATTAGAAGTTACAGGTACAAAATTTTTTTCTCTAGATCGTACGATTTTTGTTTAATCAGTACAGTTTTTGTCTGAAAATACAATACAAATACATTACATTACATCACTTTCAAAGTTTTATTCGGTCATACAAGAATTTTCGTAACTTTAGTAAACCTCCTTACTTTTCATATGAGACTAGCATGCAAAAAAACCCGACAATTATTTGTCTGATATTCAATATTATGTCAATATTTTTGAATGTCAAAGCGGCACATTGTTTTGCATGTAAATTTGTTGTTTTATATTGTAGGCCTGTAATTCTAAGGAATTACTTAAATCTGTCCAAACAAGGGTCTAGTAAACATCCCGGGTAAGTTAAAGTTTGAAACACAAGATCATAAATTATAATATAAATAATTATAAAAAAAATAAAAGTTAATTCAATAATGTAATCAAACCAAAAACACTGAAATTTAAAATAGAGCACCAAGTTCGCACATCACTGAGCTCAAACGCAGAATCGTCGCTGTTGTCACTTTCAGTGTCTGATGACGAATTTCTCCACTAAACACTATTGCTCAATTCTGCAAGTGATTCTAATTCACTATCACTAGCTGGTCTAAAACTGCTTTTGACCTGAAGGATGCTTTTTGGATGCCATGGACTTTCTCAAGTTTCCTAGCAGAAAGAACGGTAAAAGTACGGGCAGGGCACAGGACAAAGCACTAGGGACAAAATTTAGGTGAAATGGTTTGATACAGTAATGTAATCCTAACAGATTACAATGTATTGTGTGTGTCATGTTTTTACTTTTTTTAATCTCCTGCTGGTTCCACCCCCCTGCGTCACGACACTCGCAGGGAAGGGAACCTGGAGGCCGGCATCGGCTGGAGGACATCGGGGAATCAAAGGACAAGGTAAGGATCGGGGGAGAGCAGAACAAGGACTACAGAGTAATCTCGGGTGTGGCTCGGGTTACCACTTTTGGTACTGTAAATTAACCCCGAGTCACACTCTGGATTACCGCTAGGGAGGTTAATTCAGTGGAGGAGCAGTGCTGCAAACGGACAGAGCTGGATTGTGAGAGGAGCCCAGGTAGTGTTTAGAAAGGTGAGAGTTATGGGGCGTTTGTTACCTTAAAGGTAAAGAACTACACTTTTTGAACTACTTTTAATGCACAAACACTGTTCTTTACTATTAAGCAGGAAGCACACATAATCTCCACACTCTGCCTATACTTTTACTCTTTTTTTTTTTTTTTTTTTCCCACATGGGAGAGTTGTCTGGAAAATGTTTTTGCTTTGAATGTTTGTTGGTTATATAATTGTCGGTGCAGATTTGTATCTAGTGCACTTATTGACTTTATTAATTCAATACAACATTGCAGAAAACAATGTGTATTTTCCGTTAATAATGGTAACGTTAAGTGCTATTTCCATTAATTTATGCAGTACTGGAAATAATGACTGGAATTCTTACATTTTTAAAATGCTGTTGAGCTGAACAGCTTTGAAACTTTTCAATTGTTTTTTTTTTTTGTTTTTCTTTTAGCTTTCCATCAACTTTTGTATCCAACAATAATCAGTCGCCCTTAACGCCTATGCAAAGTGTTCCTCTGCCGTCAGTCTCTGCCTCCGCTCCATTACCCGCTGCAAGCAATTCTGTTGTCACATCAGGCTTCAGTGAGCTGAAAGCAACAAGTGGCAGCAGAAAGGCCAGAGTTCTGTATGACTATGATGCTGCCAACAGCAGTGAACTATCACTTCTTGCAGATGAGGTAATTGTTTTAAGTTCATCTAATACCTTACTAATTACTTATTTTAAAACTGTAAGCAACATCTGAAAGGTATGTGCTCATTTTAAAACCCTGTGCTTAAATATTAATGGAGAACTGTGTACCTAATGCTTATTGCTGTCGGCTATGTGTGGGTACCTTTGTTCGTCAGCTGCTGCTGGTAGTCTGCAGTCACATACAGTGGCAAGAAAAAGTATGCGAATCCCTTTGGAATTGGTGTTCTACACCAATTTGCCATAAACCATTGCAACAATAGACAAACACCACATACTTAAGTTGATAACACACAAACAATTCTACTTTCTTATGTCTTTATTAAACGCACTTCTTAAACGTTCACAGTGCTGGAGGAAAAAGTAAGTGAACCCATGGACTAATTACTAGATTGCACACCTGCAGTCCAATTATTTAAATGAGTTTTGAGATGCGGTCAAGCATTTTAAGATTGCTGTGCAAAAGAAGCATTAGGTGATGTGAACCATGCTTTACAGAAAGTATCACTCTGAAAACATACAATCAAGAGCAGTGATATGCATAAGGCTGGAAAGGGATACACAGTCCCATTGTGTTTAGGCATCCATCAATTGCACCTAAAGTTTGCCAAAGAGCACTTTGGCAAACTGCACCGATACCGGGAAAATGTTTTGTGGAATGGTAAAACAAAAGTTGCATTTTTCTGAAAGAATACTCTGCAATATGTATGGCACAAAAAGGGCTCGGCTTCCAAACATCAAAACATCATCCCAACAGTGATGTGTGGCGAAGGAAACCTCATGATTTTGTTTTTTTTGCTGCCTCAGGGCCAGGACTACTTGCCGTCATTGAGGGGGGGGAATTAATTCTCAAGTTTACCAAAACATGCTACAGGATAATTTCAGGGTCCTTGTCCGCCAGCTGAAGCTTAGTACAAGTTAGGTGATTCAGCAGGAAAACGACCCTAAACATTGGAAGTAAATCGAAGAAAATGTGTCTGTTGGAGTGGCCAGACAGTCTAGAACTTAACCCCATAGAGATGCTGTGGAATGACCTTAACCTCCCTGGCGGTATGATTCTTTCCGATTTTTTTGTGCTGAAAGCGGTACCATTTTTTTGCATGGAAATATGTAGTTTTTTATTGTAGGCTGTAATTTTTAGGAATAACTCACTGAAATCTGTCCGAACAAGAGTCTAGTAAACATTCCGGATATGATAAAACTTGAAACACAAAATCGTAAATTATAATTTAATAAATAATCATAAAAAATAATATAATAATTTTAATTCAATAATATAATCAAACCAAAAACACTGAAATTTGAAATACAGAGGCAAATTCGCACATCGCTGAGCAAAGTCGCAAAATCGTTTTCAGTGTTTGATGACGAATTTCCCCACGAATCATCACTCAATTCTGCAAGTGGTTCTGATTTACTATCGCTGTTCTAAAACCGCTTTTGATGTAAACGGACGCTTTTTGGACACCATGGACTTTTCTAAGTTTCCAGGCAGAAAGAACAGTCAAAATGCAGGCAGGGCACAGGACAAAGCAGTAGGGACAAAATATATGTGAAATGCATTGAAACAGCAATGACAGCAAAAATTACATTTTTTAAAAATGTCAAATTTCCCGCCGGTTCCGGCGCCCGTCCATCCCGACGTCACAGGGACCGGAACACAGAAGCCGGATGCCAGCATCGGCCGGAGGAGATGGCCGGGGATGCTGCAGGGGACACATCGCGGGAGCGAAGGACAAGGTAAGTGCTGCAGGGACCCCCTGAGCAACGCCGCATGGTAAGCCCGAGTGTAGCTCGGGGTTACCGCTCTTGGTATTAAAATTTTACCCCGAGCTACACTCGGGAAAACCGCTGAGGAGGTTAAAAGAGTTGTTCATAGCAGACATCCTGTAAATGTGTCTGAACTGAAGCAGTTTTGTAAAGAGGAATGGTCAAAAATTCCTCCTGAACATTGTGCGGGTCTGATCCAGAGCTACCGGAAGAGCTTGCTTGAAGTCATTGCTGCCTAAGGAATTGTGACCAGCTATTGGCACCAAAGATTCACTTACTTTTTCCTCCAGCACTGTGCATGTTTAATGGGTTTGTTCAATAAAGATACAAGAAATCAAAATTGTTTGTGTGTTATCACCAAAATAAATAAAATACAAGGGACTTGCAGTACAGTGAGCATAACCTATTGCTCTATCAAAGAATAATCCTGCAACTTGAAGCGTTCCTGTTCTTTTTAATTACTGATCTACATTAGGCAGTTGAGGGGGAGATATGATAATTTCAGGTTAAATGGCTTTCATATATACGACACATGAAATGGTAAAGAGGTGTGTGTGTGTGTGTGTGTGTGTGTGTGTGTATATATATATATATATATATATATATATATATATATATATATATATATAGCAGTCATTTAGGACCTGAACACACATATCTCTACTTCAGCTGCATAGTGAAGGTCAGTAATTAATTAGGACAGGGATGCATGAAGATGCTGGATTATTCTTTGGAGCAATAAATTATTCTCACTTTGCTGTAACCCCTTGTAATGTACAACAATCGGCCATAACATTATGACCCTCCACCATAACACATCGAGGCATGAACTCCACCAGGTTTCTGAAAGTATGCTGTTGTATGTGGCACCAAGCTATCAGTAGCTGATCCTTCAAGCCCTGTAAGTTGTGTGGTGGGGCCTCCATGGATCAGACCTCTTTTTCTAGCACAGTCCACAGATGGTCAATTGGATTGAGATTTGGAGAAGCCAAGTCAACACCTCAATGTCAACGCTGTGCTCCTGAAGCCATTCTTGAATTCATCAGACTAGACCACCTTCTTTCATTGCTCTTGTGGTCCAGTTATGTTGCTCACGTGCCCATTGTAGGAGCTTTTGGCTGTGGACACGGGTCAGCATATGAGCACCCTGACCGGTCATCGGCTATGCAGCCCCATACGCAACAAACTGTGAAGCACTGTATGACTTTCTTTCAGAATCAGCATTACATTTTTATCAATTTTGAGCTACAGAAGCTCTTCTAAAGGATTGGACTACACGCGCCAGCTTTCGCTCCCCACAAGCATGAATGAGCTTGGCTGCCCATGACCCCTTTTGCCAGTTAACCAGTTTTCCTTCCGTGCACCACTTTTGGTAGGTCCTCACCACTGCAGACCAGGAACAATCCATCTGCAGTTTTGGAGTTGCTCTGACCTAAACGTCTAGCCATTACAATTTTGCCTTTGTTATATTCGAGTAAATCCTTGCGCTTGCCTTTTTTTTATGCATTCAACACATCAGCTTCAGGGACAACATGTTCACTTGCTACCTAAAATATCCCACCCACTTTCAGATGCCATTGTAACATGATAATCAATGTTATTCACTTTACTTGTCAGTGGTAATCATGTTATGGCTGATCGGTGTATTGTCTTACTTCATTTTGATATATTGACTTTGAGTAGAAAAATGCATAACAAATCAGTATATGTTATCTTTATTTTGATCAGGTCTGATAACTAAATAATATATGAATGGGTCTAATAAGTAAATAATATGTAAATATGAAAAGTTACATATTAAAATTTTACCCTGAAAGGGGAGCTCTATTCTCCTTCACTCACTTATTCAAAGCTATACTTATCTATCTTATCGTTTATATATATATATATATATATATATGTGTGTGTGTGTGTGTGTGTAATATATATATAATATGTATGTTTAGTAGACTCCTTCCAAACATTTGGTCAAAAGTGTGAGAGAGTAAATCTCTCTTGATTAAATATTTAGTGCACTATGCATCCTGTGTCATGGTTGTGTATTAAATGTTTTTATGTGAAACAAAGGTTCTATATTACTAAATTGATGGTACATTTTAATAGCCTATTAGCTTAAAAAAAGATAGTTTCCCTTTTATGGTGCTAATCACCAAATACTAAGTTAACCTCTTGCTTTTCCTGGCACAAACCTGATCATTTGCTCCCAGCACAACTAGAGAACTGACCACAGTGTGTCCTGCTTAGTGTGGTCATACATACAAAGAGAACAGACTACTTTTTCATACATGTACATGGTACAGCAGATATATCTGGAATATGAAATGTTGGGTTTACTTATTCTTTAATAGTCAGATTTACTTTGTTGGGTTGACTGTTAAGGCTTCATGCACACTGGGGCTCTTCTAAACGCTTTTTCTCCTGGCAGAAGAAAAGCAGCTGCAAAGCTGTTTTTTTTTTTTTTCTTCTTTTTTCCCAAGTATGTTGAGCGCTTGGCTGTTCACTTCATTGGCCAGAATATTAATTCTAGCCGTTGAAATGGAAAAAAAATGCTTAGGCGCCTAGCATTAACATGCGTTTAGACCAGGGGTGGGCAAACTTTTTGACTTGAGGGCCGCAATGGGTTCATATATTGGACCCGGGGGCCGGACCAAGAGTAGATGAATGATGTGTATGTGTCATCCATAGTAAGTATAGTAATATTCCCCCATAGTAAGCATAGTAATTCATCCCCCATATAGTAATTCATCCCCCATATAGTAATTCATCCCCATATAGTAATTCATCCCCCATATAGTAATTCATCCCCCATATAGTAATTCATCCCCATATAGTAATTCATCCCCCATATAGTAATTCATCCCCCATATAGTAATTCATCATATAGTAATTCATCCCCCCACCCCCCCTATAGTAATTCCCCCCCTATAGTAATTCACCCCCCCTATAGTAATTCACCCCCCTATAGTAATTCACCCCCCCTATAGTAATTCATCCCCCCTATAGTAATTCACCCCCCCTATAGTAATTCACCCCCCCTATAGTAATTCACCCCCCCTATAGTAATTCATCCCCCCTATAGTAATTCATTCCCCATATTAAGTCCCCAAGTCCCCCCTGTGTCCATTCACTTACCTTTGCTCCGCGCGTTCCTCTCGCCATGTTCCCGGGCCGTTCCGGTGTAGCATGAAAATCCGTCTCCTATGAGGATCTGTCCCCCTCGACGTATCTGCGCATGTGCCAGTTTCAGGCATTAGCAGCCGATCGGCGATCTCCGGCACGTGCGCAGATATGTCGAGGGGGACAGATCCTCATAGGAGACAGATTTTCATGTTACACCGGTCTTCAGGGCGGACTGTGAGAGGAGCCTAGCGGGAGCCTAGCTCCGCGGGCCGACTTAAAAGGTCCGCCGGGCCGTAGTTTGCCCATTGTTGGTTTAGATGCATTTACCCATGTTTAGGCGTGTCAGGCTTTTTTCTAACAAAACACTCCTCTGTTGAACACATGAGTGAGGGGTCTTTTTTCTGCCTCTAAACTCCCCTGCCTCTAAAGTACTGCAAACACCTATAGTGTGCATGGATACATAGGTTAACATGGAGGGGAGTTTAGAGGCAGAGAACAAAAAAGCTGAGACGCCTGTAAAAGCATTTTGAGCTGAAGTGGGCATGAGGCCTGATAAACAGTCCTGCCAGGATAGCGTAACTCCCGGCCTGGAGCTCGGCTCTCCATCCTAAGCCAGTGTACTGGTTCTTGGCTTCTTCTACATGACTGCATGCATTATTCACAGCCAGGTCACAATGACATTACAGCATACTGCCCAATGAGCCATGGATGCTGCACATTTTACAGTACCTGTGAAAGGAACAAAATTTGAAACGCCTCATTATAAACTTACATTACAATGTAACCTAAAATTGCTACTTCTAATAAATATACCTCTTTTCTTTCTTCTAGGTCATAACTGTGTATAGCATGCCTGGGATGGATTCTGATTGGCTGATGGGAGAGCGGTGTAACCAGAAAGGCAAAGTGCCAATTACCTACCTAGAGCTACTTAACTAACTGACTTTTTTCTATTTTCTCCTGAAGTGCCGATTTTCAGCAAATAAATATTTATATGCAATTAGCTTGATGTAAAGCAAATGTAAAGATCTTCCACATATAAATGTCTTAAAAGAATTTCAGCCATATAAACTGGCTTTTGTCTGTACTGCCATTTTTCTTGCATGAAAAAAACCCCCCTTAAGTCACGTGACGTTTTCTTTTTGGCATTTATGGACTTGACAGTTTTGTACTGACCCAGAGTCAATATTAACAAAGTTCTGCCATGCGTTGGAGGGTGAGCGTGATCATTTTCTCCCTCTATTTGTGTGATTGGTGGATGGCTTTTTATTCTATTTCCTCCCTAAAATGTAAATGTTGTGCCAAATGTTTTATACTAATGTTAAATAACAGAGGCTGTGACATTCCCTAGTTAGCAAAGAACTATCAGGTATGTTTAGCGGAGTTAAATCTCTACGGTTTCATTAGCTGGTCTCTAAATGTTGCCTGTTTCAGGCCCTGCATTACTTTTTATTATAGGGGATCAACTTTTTGGGTTTACTACACAGAACCAGTGTTGAAACACAAGTGTTACACGTTTTAAAATATAACCTTTATATGGTAGTCCCCGCCACCCCCAGAACCCCCTTCCTGTCTTTTACATACCTGTCCCCGATCCAATGAGATATGGCTGCCTAGATAGTTCACCCGCTTTTTTATAATATTCCTAGCTGGACATGCATTTGCACTCTGCGTTACTGTTCATCCTTTGGAGATGCCAACTACTCTCTCATAATCTGCGGTTTCCCAGGGATGACTGCCTCCATAGGAACAAATAGTAGTACAAACTGCATGTGCAGCCATGGCAAGGAACTATTTGTACTAACGGCTGTCAGCCATATATCACTGGATCAGGTCAGCATAAGACTGAGTGGGTGTTAGGGGCTACTTAATAAAAATGTAGTGACCCTTTAAAGAAGCATTTAGAGTATTGGTGCATATGAATATGCAGTCATCATGAATTTTTCCATATGTTTACACTGACTTCTATGGAGGAATAAAAGGAAAGCACAGACTGATCTTTTAGTCTGATGTCTGTGTCTCTTGTTGCCTTGTATTTCACATTATTGAAGTGCAGTCTAAAATTTTACAGCTAGTGTTACTATGTCGACGTGTCCAATTACACAGCACAAAAAGCTTCGCGCAGCAGTTTGCCCAGATTGACATTCAGTCAGATACTTGTAAAAAAGGCTGTGCTAAATTACAGCTGTAAGCTCCTCGGCCCTGTCAGACAAGCAGGAAATTGTCCATTTATTTAGACGTCGCAGGGATCATTCAGCATGCACTCCTAAAAATGTTGTTGAAAAACCTTGTGGTGTCTCTTTTTTTTCTTTTTGTCAGAACATCATGCTGAAAGCAGGTTTGGACTCAAATTGTAAAAACTAAAGGAGCTGCTGTTGCTGACTTGTATTTGAAGGTACAAGTAACAGCCCCTTGCAGTCTCCCTGTACTGGATCTCTGCTATGCATATGCTAGTTCTTCTTCAGAAACTCCTACAGCAAGGGTAGGGTGATTAAGTGAATTGTGCCTTGGCAAAAGAGGGTATGAAAATGGTTAAACCAAGCCTTATTGTGCATGGTGTGCAAACTAGAACATAATTAGAAAAGGTAGATCAATAATTTGCTCCACTGGGTACACTTCATATCACTAAATATGAATTTGTATATGCCCTCTTGAGCTTTTAATGCCTAGTTTACAGGTAGATAAATTAACACTGGACTCTTGGGCCTATGGACATGAGCAGTGCCTGAGGAAGGGCAGTGTTACAAAGTCACGCTACAACCTTCTTGGCAAAGTCAACCTTCAAAGGGAGATACTATCACAAGAGGACGTTGGTGTACTTGTCCATTGTAAATGCTGAAGAGGTGCTGGGAATCATGTCCATATTTGTGAGTCAACCCAATCTTGGAATTTTGGTTTTAAATTAAGCCCGAGAGAGAAAAAATTGCGGTACCAGAACTTTGGATCCCGCCAGGTCCATGTGTATTTGAGACGTCTTCTTGAAGTGGAACTCACAGAAAACATATTGTTCTTTGTCTATCGTGGACATGACAATGTTTTACTGACCGCGTGTCAACGTTTCTAAAGATGGACTTTTTCTGATGGTGGATATGAATTTGTTTTTATTTACATAGGAAGCTTCAACTTCAACTCAAGAATATTATTTTAACCTGCTTGAATGTATGTGGGGGTTTAGGAGCACACAAGGCACACCGCCAACACACTCCATTTTGTATTGTTTTATAAATATATTTAAAATTTCTTAGATTAAATGTAAATGTAGAAACTAAAATTGCTTTAATACATTAAGCATAACAGTAGACAAAGCACATTTAAAACTTGTGTAAATTGGATTGTAAAATAAAAAAAACAAGATTTTGTTTTGTCTTAAATAGTTTGTTCAAATTCTTGTTTCTTAGAAAGTTTGACTTTCATTTGGGTGTTTATGTTCATGAAAGTGTTTAAGAGCCCATGCACATCAGTCACATCACAGTAACAAACATTACTTATAAATATGAGGTGCCCGTTCTTTGTGCAGCACAGTACAACGCATGGTGGGGAAAATTTTCAAAACTGGAGCAGCTGTGCCTAGAAAGCAATCGGCTTCTTGCTTCAGATTTTTCAGTTAAGCGATGAAAATGAAACAGAATCTGGTTAATTGCTGTGAATAGCTGCTCCAGTTTAAACATTCTCCCTCTGTGTTTTCTGTGCTGTGTAAAAATGCAGACTGTACCTATTTATTATTTTTTTTTTTTTTTTTAACATGTATTAAAGTTTTTTTGAATAGGCTGCCTAATACATATCTCTGCAATGCACAAAAATGCATCCATGGGCTCTTTAAGGGTTCATCTCTTGATTTACCAAACTCCAGTTCATGAATTAATCTGTCAGCACAAATATTTTAGCAGGTTTTTTTTGTTTTGTTTTTTGCAAGGTATATAAATGAAAGGTTTGTGAAAAACATGCGCTTAAATTGAATATTTATCTGTGTATTCAGTAATCCAGGGGTGGCCAACCACCTGACCTGCTCTAAGATGGTGGGTTAGCAAGTCCAGATCGTGGGTTCCTGGCCCACCATCCCAGAGTATCAGTGATGAGAATAGAGCGGTGGTAGAGGAAGCATGTGTCTACAGAAAGCATCAGCTCTGCTCTGCTCTCTACTGCATAGCGCTGGCTCCTGTCACAGGCAGAGTGATACCAAATGTACTCTGTCTAGGACAACTATAGCCGGCGATACCTGCAGGGTGGGTGTCTTATTACCTGCGGATTTGATGCACTTTCTGAAAGTGCACCACACTTGCAGGGTATAGTAGAAGTCTATAGAAAAGTGCAGCTAATCTGTAAGAAACCACGGGTGCACTGTGCTGTACCAGTGGTGTGTGTACACCTGCAGTGCCTCAGTATGAAAGCAGCCTTAATCCCCTTTCACATGATTTGGTCTGATCAGGTTCACCTGTTTGGGTTTTCAGGTGGGCCCATTTGGACCCTCCATGCACCTCTATGGTGTCCATTAAGGCTAGGTTCACATATGTGAGGGTGGTGCCACTGCAGATCTGCACAGACAAATGCGGACCTGCGGGCGGGTGCCATTAATTTTACTGGGAATTGAGTGCGGGCTGCATTTTCAGAAGAAGTGCAGGGACTTCTTCCCTGCGTGTCCTGGGCATGGGAGTCCATTCAAATGACTGGGCTCTCGTGCCTTCACAAAATGCGGACCGCAGGAACGCACTTATGTGAACCAGGGCTTACACCCACCTACCTCCAGTTTGATCCGCCAAAAAAAAAAAAAAGAAAGAAAAAACAGAAGGGGATCTGTTCCCTTCTGCCTGGTTGGATTGGATCAGAGGACCCATACAGTAGAGTGGGCTGTGTCTGCTCTGCATTTGCAAACTGGACACGGACCTGTTGTTTGATTGCTCCGTTCATTGTGGCCCATGACCGGTTACCAAATTTCTTAAGTGACCCTCGTTCTTGAAAACGTTGGGCACCCCTGCTGTAGTCTATTGTAGCTGGAATTTGCTAGTTTTTCCACATTACCTCTGCATGGGGGTGTGCCTACTACCATATGACTAGTAGAGGGGTATATTTTTAAAGCTATGTGACACATTAACATCCTGGTGCATGTGTTTAAGTTAGTGATTGATTTACATGCTGTGAATGTTTGAATATCATATTCAGTGCTTTTTAAATATGAGTGTTGTATAGATTGCTTGGAACCAGACTATGCTTGCATATGTACATTTTGACAAGTGAATAGGGTATCTTTAAAAGATACAAGCATCCATAAAGATATAGTGAGCAGTGCAAGATAAGTAGGATACAGGTTTTGGCCAAGACCCATGCAGGCATGAATTCACAGGAATGAAAAGCTTGTGTGACTATGCCCAATGTGTTTGCTTTAGAACTCCTCCTTTTTTATTTATAGATTACGAAGAGTAAATTCGGCCATAGATTGATCGAATCTTGGCCAGTGCAGAAGGGGACTGGCCAAGAATCGATCCATCTATGGGTAGGCTGGTTTTACTGAGGTCGATCCATCATGCAAAAAAACTAATTTTCCCCTGAATAAGTCACATGGTCTGTGATGAAACATGTGAAGGCGGAGCCTGGATTACAGCAAACCGCTTGAGTAACACGGAAGTTCGGTAACCCACAGTGTATTGCGATAGTGCACATGATCACTATATTTCATTATAAGGCTAGATATATATGGTGCGCTCTAGCACCTGATTATGTGAGTGTATTTCTACAATCTGTAGAATTAATACATTTTAATAAAGGATAAGCACCATTTTAGTTAATGGTGCTGAGCAGAGGAGGATTGTGATAAGATAGGTTATAGTTTGGAATGCTCTTCATGGTCCACACAGGGACAAAAGCACATTTTAACCAAGTATGTTCTGTTAGGTCAATAGAGCCAAATGAGAGTATATCTGGTGGTGGCAATATATGCGGAGTGA